GGGAACACTTGCTGCACACCCTTGTTCCAGGCAGCAGATGACTCAGCTCAGAGGCACCAAAGGGATCGATAAAGCAAATTTTATTATCCATGTTTGAAAAATTAAGAAATGAAGGCACTGGGAGCTTATGTCCTGTTGATGGGCACACGGGAAGAGTCAGATCCGGGAAGGAGCCTGTCCCGCCAGCTCCCTGCCCTGGGCCAAAACCCACTTTTTTTTGCATTCCACCTAACCTGGAACCTGTTGCTTCCTTCAACGTTGTTGCAACGGTAATGAATCCTCTTTCTTGGGCACAAAGAGTATTTTTTCACCTAAAAAAGAACCTAACAAATCACTGCCGGGAATTATGCCCATGGAAAAGAGTAATTTCTTACAGTCAATAAAAATATTTTACATTTTAGAGCAACATTCTGGCTAATCTTTCCAGACAATCAAGAAATCAGCCCATCTCCCTGTTCCAGCTTGGCCAGCTGGTAAAGCATCCGACAGCAGAAATAGCTGCAACAATTTGAGCACAAACATCGCCTTATTTATGAATTTTCTTCCCCTTTCCTCTTGCGGGCTTTACTTTGGAGAAATGCCATGTCAGGACTGCCCAAGAAGCGATGGGCCATGGTGGTCCCCCTACAGCCACCTCTCCCACCCAGCTAAGGACCGAGGAGCAATTAGTTTTAAGTTTAGCATTTTGTTTAGCTCTTGGATGCTTTTGATGTTCTTAATTTACGCCACAGGAACCGCAGAAGATGTCAGATGATGATTAAGATGCTCTTTTACTCTTCTAGAGCACGCCGAGTACCTTGAAGCCATGGCCTGTGCATATAAAGCAATATTTTTTCTTACTCAGAGCTGTTTGTTACAGCAATCATGTGCCTGCTTTGCTCCGGGGAGAGGAATTAGAATACAGCAATATTCCGGCTGCTTGTTTTTTAAAATACATGCGTGGGTGGACGCTCCAGCTACTGCTCACATTTTTCTCTTGCAAGTCATAGAAGAGCTGTTTGTGCTTCTCCTAGCTGGTATTTTCTCTTAACGCCGATTTTGTTGGCCAGATCGAGGAAGGAAGGTGCCTCAAGCCAGTTGACATGTGATGCGTGGAAATAATAAGTATTATTAATTGAAAAATGTTTGAATTTCTGGATTGCAGAGAGGAAGCTTTGGAACAGCTTTAAGATGAAAGGTGCCATAATAAGTTTTCCTCCAGCAAAGAGGAAAAACCTGTACTAATGCTCCACTCATTCCATGTGGCTTCCAACTTAAAGCAGCTGATGGTGAAGAAATTGAAAGCCAGGGTTAGACTAGAGCTGGAAATACACACCTAGCTGGTCAAAGCTGCCCATCCTCATGAAGTCCTGAGACGGAAGGTAGCAAATAAATGGAGTGAGTTACTTTGCCTGAGACATCCCAGCCTTCATCCAGCCATCCAGGCTGCCCACAGGTCTCAGGATTCCTTCAAGACGTCGCATGGAGAATTTTAACAGTCAACTGTGTTTACCTCGTGATCCTGGAAAGACGTTACAGAGGCATGAACAGCAACCCAACAAGTTGTACCAGCGTCTTCCATGAGCTTGTCTCACCACATCTGTACTCGGCAAGAACTTTGTGGAAAAACCATGAGTTCTGAGATTGAATGAGAAAAATAAATTTAAAAAAAAGAGAGAACAACCAACTCGAGAAATAGTAGGTTGCCATCCCGCTCGCCAGATCTGAACCGTGCGTCAGGACACATCTCCAAGCTGAACAGTTTACAGGAGGCACAAACAGCCCCATAAAAAACACGGTGTCACTGCCTCATGAAAAAGCATTCTGCTGGCAAACAGCAGTTGAGCACAAAGCCTGTAACGCAATCCAGGAGCTGCCCCAGACATCAGAACTGCTTGTTTACTCCACACTAACGATTTTACCTCAATGCCTTTCACCAGAATATATATATATATTTTTTAATAGATCTGTTCACTTTTTTAAGCTGCACTTATTAAAAAAAGGCGCAAGCAATTCCTTCCTCCTTGTGCTACAAAACAACATAGTCCTTAAAGAAAAATCATTATTCCTTTAATTCAGCATCATGAAATATGAGAAATAAAGCTTTAGCACGGGTGCAATAAACTCCTCAGTAACTCTGCAGTGATGCCATGGCTCCAGAGTCACGTTAGCCCGAAACTATTGGTTGTAAGAGCACAGGAGGAACAATGCCACCAGCTGTCCCAGCACCACCAACCCCCTGATGCTGGTGAGGAGGAAGCAGCTCTGAATACGATGTTCCTGAGCTAACATTCATTTACCAGCGCAACGTGGCCACTGCTCCGTAATGATTAACGAGCGTCGCCGAGCAAGATGGTATTTCACTCTGTTACTAACTATTGTCAGTCTCTACAGAGCTCCCGGGAAGATTGTGACGATACTGCCCGTTAATTTAGATTTGTGTAGAACTTTTAATAGCCAACATCTTCACAGCCATCCGTTCCATCACAATAAATTTCCCTTCTTATGAGAATTATAAAATTACACACACAAATCAGACTAGTTCAGTTTGTATGGAAACAAATTATTTATTAATACAGTTGTAATTTACCATACAAGTGATCTAGCACACTCTCGGAGCCCAGTCCTTGGTGATCTCCATCCCATTTGGGTGGGAAAACACTGCAGTGAGAAGGATACAATGCAGAACAATCTCGGCTGGGTGAACAACCGTAGACACGCGCTGCCCTGCCTTTGCCCTGGCATCTCCACGGAGGCAGTGGGAGTTGTAGAGACATTCGTAGGTCTCGTGGTGTTTTAAAAAGGCTTCAATGTGAAATGTCTTCCAGGGCTTTCAAAAGGCTGGAACGGAACTGAAATAGTCTTTGCAATAATAATTGCCAGATGCTAAAAACAACCCACGGAGAAGCATTGCGTAACTGCTTGGCAATGAAATAACAGAGAGATCAAACCCCGTGCACAAAGGCAGAGAGGGAAAACCAGAGTTTTTCCAAGCAAAGCCATTATGGATGCTTCTACAGCCGCCCTTCCACCCGACTCACCCCTGGCTGTGCAGAAGGGAAGGGTACATGCAGAGGGGACTGAGCCAGCCAGCACCACAGCTCGCGGGACCTGCAGGATATCAACTCCAAAAAGAAAAAACAGGTGTAGAGCCTTTATATCGGCTTCACAAATCCACACTTTATTTTGGCAAGTAAGCAGAACATATCAGTCAGCACCGAACATTCATGCAGAGATTGCTTGGGTTTCCAAAATCCTAATGAGTGAGATTTTCTGATGAATTAAACAGCGTGAGGGCTCCAGCTGTAACTGGGGCAAACTCCCCCCAGGCAGAGACAACCGACCCCGTATGTTGGTGTAGGAACAGCCTCAGACGAGAAAAGCAGCTCATGGGCAGGCGTAGGAGGCAACGGAGCATCGGAGCCAGCAATGATTGTACAAGTTGTTCGAAGATGTGTGATATTAACGTGGATACAAACCTAATGGCTTTGTGCATTAGTCTGCAGCACATAAAAACCAGCAGAGAGAAAAGGCCCCTCTCTAGCATCTTACGTGGAAACCCAGCGGTCATTAACAGACACTAATGCTCTCAAACTAAGACACAGTATGTACTTGCCAGCATCTCCTGCTCCATCTTTTGTTCATCTTCAACAACAAAATCATTTCACTAGAAAAGTGCCATAAAAAGCAGCAAGCCCTCTCTCCCGTGTCTCTTGCGTCAAGACTCCGTTGCTATGTAAAAATGAAATCTACAGCACAATACCGAAAGCCTCGCAGTCTTCTGCTCGGAGTAACACTCACACAAAGCAGGAGATCTGCAGCATAGGCTGATAGTGAGTACTTGCTCTTGTTTTCTTGAAATCTTTCTCAACCATGCACTGCAGGTGAGGCTGATCATGCTTGTCTCTTGTTAACAACAGAAAAAAAAAACCAAAAAAGGCAGGGGAGGAGACAAGAGATGGACTAAGCCCATGTCTCCAGTCCTTTGATTTGTGGGAGGCGTGTGCTAAAAGTTTCCATCAGAGAGGAGTTTGCTTTCAACATGCAACTTCCGGGTTTAATTTTTCTTCCTGAGGCAGTGTCACCTGAACTGACTTGTCATAAGCCTCAACTAAAACCTGGGCAACCTGGATGAAATGAGAGAGGGGAAAAAAACACTAAGAGAACTCCGGGAAGACTGCAAAAGTAGCTTCAGCCACATGCAAAACCAGACTGCCGGTTGAGAACGGAAAAGTGAATTGCCAAGATAACCAGCTACTACATCAACCAGTACTTACAACGCCCCATGACCTTCAGGAAGGAGGCAGCTCTTGCTTAAGACACGGGGAATCACCCCTGGATTTGGAGCCAGAGGATGTGGAGTCTCCTACCTCAGGGAACAGGAGAAGTCCCAGTAAAGGGGGTTAAAAAAAGCAAACAGCCTGATTACATGCAGGTATAGCTCTAATCACTCACAGAGCCGCAGAAGTCTCAGGAATTGTGTAGCACAGAGGAAAACTTCCACCATGGAAAAACTGTGTCTTTGGTAGGAGAGTCTGCCTAAAACGTAAGGACCTGGAGCCACACACACGTTCCCTTGCAGTGCAGGTGCCTAGCTGTGGTAAAGATCTGCTCTGGTCAATAGATTCCTGAAAACAATTTTTGAAGTATACACATTATAGGTACCGTGATTTCTTTCAAGCTAATAGGCTGTAAAGACTTGAAAACTAGCATGTACTCACAGGAATAGAGATGTTCGCTTCTGAGCAAGATTTTTCTTTTCTGTAAACTTCTTGCATTAAAAACTTCACTCACATGTAATTGGCAATATTGGACATTTATTTTTAAAAAATACACATGCAGAAAGCCATCCTCTTTCAAACCAACCCATAAAATAATCCAGCACAGATATTAGAGAAAAGCAATAGCCCTCTAAGGCACGGATTCGCCTGAAACCTCCAGCAAAAATGTATTTTCTGGGGGAGTCCGTGCTCCCGTAACACCATGCAGTGGTGCGAGCCCAGCCAAAGTCAATCACATAACAGAGCACTTGCCTTGCAGTTTATCTTTCTTTTTCTGCTCCTTCTTCTTTTTCTCCACCTGGAGACTGACAGTTCTCCTCTTCTCCAGATTCAAGAGCTCCTGGAAGAGCTCCTGCACGTTGTAGTTCATTTTGGCCGATGTCTCCATAAAGGAACACTTCCACTTGCTGGCTAACGCTTGCCCCTCGCTAGCATCCAGCTCCCTCTGAGTCTCATCGCTTTTGTTACCCACCAACATGATTGGGATTTTCTGGATGTCCCCTTTAATCTGACAAATCTGTTCAAAGATGGGCTGCAGATCTTCCATGGACTGCCTGCTGGTGACAGAGTACACCAGGATGAAAGCGTGCCCTTTGGATATAGACAGCCTCTGCATCGCGGGGAACTGATGGCTTCCCGTGGTGTCCGTGATCTGAAGGGTGCAGATGCTCTTATCGCAGCTGATGACCTGCCGGTACGTATCTTCCACGGTGGGGATATAGGTTTCCCTGAAAGTCCCCCTTACAAAACGAAGGACCAAGGAGCTTTTGCCAACCCCTGCAGCTCCGAACACCACCACCCTGTAATCATTGCTTTGTTCTGGCATGTTTGCTGCGCTGCCGAGACAAGCGGAGATCTTAACCCCAAAAATCCGAGTTCTTTGAGTTTACACACCCCGATACGGAGGTGGCCTGCGGAGAAAGCAGAGGGAGGTGGTGAAAGGGAGAGAAGAAAAATAAATCGATCACACCATCCCGTTAATTTTACGGTACGTAGTTGGAATAAGCAGTGAAATAAATCACTCCCCTCCCATCCTTTTTTCTTGCATTAAAAAGCAACAAACCCCTACCCCCCACACAGCATACATCCCATGCACGCTGAATGAGAACTGAGAACGAATTCACCTGCAGCCATCAGCTCCG